TGCAGCAACACTGTCGCCTTTATGAAATGTTTGACATCAACCTGCATTTAAATAAGGTTTCACTAAAGCGCACATGAATCTTTGAATTTGTCGCTTCCTCCAAAATTATCATTCACTAGTATGCCAAGCTTTGTATCGGATCATTAAGCTTGTCAAACATATTCAATCATTTAATCAGTGATTAGCAAAATGCGAACTTACTATGTAGAAGATAATGCATAACATCAAGCCTGATGCTCCTGCTGTAATACATGTATAGCTCATTGTGTATAGTGGTTTACAGAAAGGAATACCTGATACAGGTACAGCCCATTACTCATAGGAAAAAGAATAGAAATCCTCAACATAAGAAATATAATGAAAAAAATAATGCAATAAAAAGAGAATATACCAAGCATCTTCAAAGCATATCCAAATATTAAAAGAGGAAAGGAGGACATAGACCATAACGATATCCTCTGCTTCTGGTCCTACAAAAGAAAGGATCCTGTCAGGGAAGCAATTCATCAAAGAGGCAAACCAGACACAACGAGAGTGCAGACAGTTAGTGTTATCAGCAAAAAGAAGCTTCAAACCTTGAAATGCAATAGTATGTGCCCAAAATGCAATCCCACAAAACATGTAACAGCAGCCATCAGAGAACTGGAAATTTATTAATAAAATGAATCAAAGACCAATTCTGAATAATCGATAACGATGATGCTTTGACATTTATAGAGTGTCTGTTTGTGTGTGTGAGAGAGAGATGAAAATAGAGTTTGAGTCAGAGAAATGCAGAAATCAACCTTAAGATTCCCTCTGGGTCAAATGGTGCAAGGCACCATTGAGGAGAATCAGAGGGCAGAGGTCCATAGTCAGGAGAATTAACACTGCATTCCTGAGACACAAAGGGTTAGCATTTTCAATTATCAGCAATGAAAAGCACTGATACAGGGCTTAAATCCTGATATATTCAATAATGCAGTTACCAGAGAAGGCCCATGAGAATGACCTTTGTTCTTCTGTAAACAGGATGTTGATAAAGGTGATGCTCGCCCAGAATAACTCGATCGATATAACCAACAGCATTGCAAGGAGGTTCAAGACTACCCCTCACTCCACAATAAACCTAGTAGGTAAATATTGTATGCAAACGTTGAAATCTTACAGGACCAACCAAATTCAATCCTAAACCAAAATCTAACACCTTAACATTGTCCCTTAGCAATTAGAAATGAAGAGAACAATTTAACTCACAATTTGAGTACCAGGTCCAGAACGAGACAAATTCAAGCTTGCAGCTTCATATTCCCAAGTTGGAACGAAAAGACCATACAGAAAGCACATGTGAAAAAAGCATAATCCAATAGCAAACAGCCTGCATTACACATAAAATTTAAAACTTGAGAATGGACAAAAGGAAAGCATATGTATGGTCCACTTAAATTCATGAGCATCAACAGAATTTGTAGAAGCACTAACCACTGATTGTAGTATTTCCTAGCAAAATCGACCAGTGATTCAACCATAATATTGTTCACAAACCAGATCTCTGAGATTGAAGCCAGCAAATATCCAATTGAAATCCTCTGAAAATTAGATGCAGACACTTTCAATATGCTTTCAACATGAAAGGTGATAGTAGTGTATGCCATTTCGAATATCAAAATCACTCATAGTTAATAGCAGAGGAAGAATATGATACAAACTTCTAGATTGAGTCAGCATAATGCTACCTGTAGTACACCTAGCCAACGTATCTTGCCCACATCAACCCCATATGTTAAATGGTCATGCCCATGGAAATACCCACCTAAGAACACATTGCAAAGAGAAATATTACAAGCAATCATCTTTAAGCACAGAATCTATAACCAAATATGTTCCATACCTTAGAACTAATGAATGCATGTTATACAATGTAAGCATGAACTGTAATGCATAAAATTTATACTAAATTCAGACAATTGACAAAACTTACAAGTGTTGTACCAATATAAGTAAAAGAAACATCAAGGAATGTTGAGTGTAATCAAGTATAAGATTATGATAATCTAATGGAACAATGACAGGGTACCTTGCAGTAACAACCCCAAGAGAAAGAGATTCATTGCTCTAAGAATGACTTTCTTTGTGGCAGTTGTCTTGCTGGGTATTTTCTGCATGGTAATAGAAGGAATAAGAGCAGGCAGTTGATTAGTATATAATTGCTTCCTTACATTTCAGAATTATTCACATAGAAATCACTGCAGAAAAGTGCTGTCCTTTTCTTTTATAAAGATAAGCTTCCCCAATTAACTCTAGATATATAATGTCGTGAAATCATTTGGGATTTGGAAGACATGACAGTGCCACATAGTAACATACAGGGGTTTTAGACAAGGATTGGGTGGAAAAAAGAAAAAGATAAACCCTAGAGTCCTACAGCCTACCTTGAATGCAAGACTGATGGAGACGCCAACAAGAAAAAGAAAAAATGGCATTACAAAATCTGCAAGTGTAACGCCCAACCACGGAGAGTGGTTTATCGACGGGAAAGCTCCTCCGGCATCATCGACCAAAATCATCAACTGTTGATTGTTGATAGAAAACCTATCAAATCAGGAAGACGTAATAGACAGACACACAGAAAGCTAGCTCATCATCAAATTAGTTAACATATATAAAAACAAACAAAGGAAATGAGAAAGATGTCAAGCTCTAGCCTTTAACTAACTACAAAGGAAATCATCAAGTAAGAATTCCATAATCCAAGTATATCATCTCAACTTAATTGATTCTAGTGAATCGCATGACAACTCCAAACCTAATCTAAGTACTAATCCAAAAACCACCAAACTATCTCAAAATTAGAATCTAAGCAAATTCGGGGGATTAAGATTCGCATTTAGCAAGCAATTTCAATCAGAATCGCCTGGCTTGGCGTACCGCGACGGTGAGGCCACGGAAGACGTCGAGAGAGGCCAGGCGTTGATTAGGCGTCGATGCATGTGTGCCGTTGGATGGTGAGGCGGGCACAAGACTTGGGATCTCATTAGAAATGGATGATTCTCCGTCTCTGTCTCTGTCTCTGTAGAGATGAAGAAGAGGAGCAACGTCGTCGACGGCTGCAGACATTATCTTGATCTCGGTGACAGTCAGTCAGGCATCACTCACTCACTTCTCAGCTCCTCTTTCGGTTCATTTCTCTCTCTGTCTGGTGCTCCGTGACTCGGGGACTCAGTAGCAGTGCCTCCGGGCAGGTCTGGTAAAACCGGTGTATGCAAGAAAACTTAGAAAAGTCCACACCAAGATCCAAGGCCAATGCGCTGTGCTACAGTATTAGTTGACCAGCGGGCATGTGGCACTTATCCTCATTTCTTGTTAAACAATTTTAGCTCGTGGAATATTTCATTAAGGTAAATTATACAAAACTATATTAATTATGGGTTGAATTGCAATTACATAATTCATATTTTCAAAATTACAATGACATATCTTCAACGATTTTTTTGTTAAATGCTGACGTGATTTAAGATGAAATCCGTCATTTAACTCAATGGGATTAATAAACTTATTAAATATCAAAAATTAAAAAAATATTTTTTATTAAAAATTTGTGAGACCCACTCCCTACAGTACAAACCCATCACCCTCACCCTTCTTTCCCAGTTCAGCCGACTCTCCCAACCTTCCTCCTCCAACATACCCGTGTGTTTGCTGTGGTCCAGATCTCTGGATCTTCCTACGCGAGCTTCCCAGGTGAGTCTACGACAAACTCTGGTGACAAGCACAGTCGCCACCAGCACTATTCCACTGTTCTTGGTGCCACGAACAGGATCCACCCAGAGTTCGCGCTGTTTGGTAGCCGTTCATGGCAGATCAAACTGTGGAATTCTCGGGAGTTTGACGCCGGCGATTTGGCATTTGGAGAGGACGATGAGGGTGCAGCGGTAGAGATTGAGCGGAATGTGGTGTAGGAGGAGGGAAATCACCCTATCTTGTTGGTTCTTCGTCTTCTCTCACTCGGCCATGAAGCCCAGTCACCTCTTTCTCTTTCCATTCAAGATTCAGATCTGCATCATCAATTTGCCTTTTTGAATTTCTGAAAAAGACCATTGATGCACATTCGAACTCTAATTAATCATGGATGAGATTTGCGGCTTTCAATTTGACTGATTTGAGTGCAAGGGGCGATGGCGTGTGAATCCTAGACATATATTATTACATCTAATTGGGCTTTGATAAACACTCAACCAAAAAGGTTGTGTTGGTTACTTCGAAAGGTGCATGAGGATTTGCAAGTAGTGAGTGAGAACAGAGGTCGACGCCGATAGCGGTGGGGTGATGAGATTATTCAAGTGAGAGATGAAGAAGACAAATTCGGGGACAGACCCGCGGCCGAGACATATCGACTCGGGAATATGGGTGATGGGTTTGTAGGGGGTAGGTCGCACATTTTTTATAAAAATAAATAAATGATTTTTTTTATTTATAATATTTAATTAGTTTTTTTTAATCCAACTAGACTAGAGAGTGAATCTCACGTCAAGTCACGTCAACATTTAACAGAAACACTGACGAAGGTGTGACATTGCAACAAATTCGTAAGATGAGATATGTCATTGTAATTTTTAAAACATAAGGTATAAGATTGTGGTTTAATTCATAGTTAATGTAGTTTTGTGTAATTTACCTATTTCAATATATAGGGGATTTTTTTTTTTTCCTTCCGGTAGGTAACATCATTAAATAGTTTAATAGTAAGTTTTTAGTAGAACCGGCTTAGGAGAACGGTCACGGAGTGCGATAAATTAGGTTATTTCACATGCAATAAAACTAAAAGAAGGAAGCGATGAACAATTAAGAAAGGTGATTGAAGAATTGGTAATTTACGTGTTAATAGTTTATGGCTTATTCTATTAACACCTCACATATTATTAATTAAACCCTCACATTCTTAATACACCCCACATTTGCTTTTTCAAATAAAAATTATCTTAAACACCCCACATACTTTCTCATAATATCATTACACCCCACATTCTCATACACCTAATATTTTCCACATATACCCCACATTTTCTATATACCCCATATTCTTCAAATCTTATAATACTCATTTTCAATTTTAATAAATTAAATTGACTTTGGATTAAAAGCCTAACATTCTCTAAAAAGAGAAGTCTACAATCCGGTTTGTTTAGCTTGAATTTCATTGGGTCATCACAGCCAATCTCCTTTTCTCTGTCACTTAAGCCTTTTGCTAAAAAAAAAACAGAAAAGATTTCTGCTCAAAAATGGCAACTAGGAGGAACCTAACAAAGCAAAAGTAAACCCTAGAAGATAAATAAGAACATAAAAGACGTTGCTGGGTTGGCCTCCTATGAAATTGGGTAGTATGGAAAGAAAAAGTAGGCTTAAATAATTACCGATGTCGTTGAATAATTAAAACAATGACAAATATGAAATTTTACCGGATGTGAAGTTTCTAAAATATTGATATGTATTTTTTCTCAATCAACATGTTTATAGTTTCAATAGTTAGAATTTTATTCAACAATGAAGTGGAGAGTAAGAGGGCTCTTGATAGTTGAAGAAAATAAATAATACGTTAAAAGTAATTTATGGTGTCTTTAGAAATTTCTTATTTTCTTTAAACCTCATAAGGTTGAAATTGTCATTGCATAGTAAATTACATAAGCCACTTAATATTAATTTTTAATGTGGGGTGCATTGAACATTATGTGGGATGCTAATAAAAAAAGCCTAGGTTATTTTCTGCTATCATATCCCGAAAATGGGTGTTTTGGACTTTTCGTACTCTCCAGATTGATACAACTTTGATTTAGCATGTTTGTTTTGGGCCCTTCATATATGGATTCGAAGAGAACTTTGAGGTCTACAAGACTTAAGCGAATTATGTCGTTTACTATATTTAATTCGGATTTTGATATTTTAGGATGTTTATATATTTTGTTTTTTTTTTATATGGGAAAACTTGATATAAGTCCAACTTTTTAAACCAATATCAAGAATAGTCCAGTTTCTTAAAATAAGTCAATTTCTTTAAATTTAGGATTATTTTATTGTGAACATATTATTTATGACTAATATTTATTGTGAAAAATAATTTCTTTTTAATTATCTCTTAAATTTTTTTTTCTTTTTTTGTTATTTATTATTCTTCTGTCCTAAACCCCCATTTATAATTTTTTTTTTAAGAGTCACTAAATTTGAAAATTAATCAATGTAGCTCCTGAATATGAGTGTTGCAAATTATTGTCGTCATTTCGTTATATTTTTGTCAAAACTTCTGTTAGTGTGCTGACGTGGCACACATAGGGGTCTCACATAAATTAAAAAATTAAAAGAAAATTAATTTTATATTCTAAAAATAATAACAAATAAATAAGTTTAAAAAGGAAGAAAAAAAAAAAACACACACACACACACACACACACACGCTTCATAAGAGGCTGTGACCTGTGAGCACCTAAGAACAATTCCACTAGGTAACTGATAGGCCGGCACCCAGGCTTTCCCCTCCAGCCCAGCAGATAGGTTGGCACCCAACCCAAGCCAGGCAAGAGACCGGCCCAAAATAGACAGACCCACATGCTGGGCCATCTGACGTCAGTCGGGCCATCAACCGTGACAACCTCCGATTCCGAACTGCAGTATAACAGAACAATGATATAAACAAACCCAGAAAGCAACCCGGCAAACCAAGAAAAACTCATATCACAATTTGCAATATCGAACTCAAGAAATTAATTTTTTGAAAATTTGGATAGAAAAAGGCCGCCTTCCAATAGAACCCATGAGGAAGAACTGGTGTTGTATAAGTAGCTCTAGTTTTTGTGAGATCTATTGGTTGTTTGGTTGATTTTCCGGGAAAAACCAGCTGAGGATGGAAAAGGTGGGTCGAGGAACCTTACTACTGCTGCGGTGTTTCATTTTTCGACGGGGAAGATCGGAAGAGTTCCTTAAATCCGAACGGGGAGAGAGATGCAGTGGGAGGTTCCAAACTTACCTTCTTTTTATAATAAAAAATAATAATATTTTAATAAAATTGACTAGGCTATTTTTTGTTAGGGGTGGAGATGCATTTGGTTTATTACTGTTTATTGGGGTCTATTACTGTTCTTTGAGTGGATTAAATAAGTTGGGTGTTGACGTATTTTTTTAGGGGTGGACTTGCTCTAGGAGGTGGATTGTCTGCCCTCCCATTTCCATACTCTCTCCATGCCTTTCTGTTTGTGTTGTCACGGTTAAGTCATGTCAATATTTTATATTCCTATTACTTTTTATTTTATTATTTCTATAATAAATTAATTAAAATATTTACGTGACTTAAGTGTGATCACACATCACAAGCATGGAAATAGTATGAAAATGGGAGGGCAGACAATACATCTCCCTTGCTCTAACCCAAGCACCAAACGACCATCTTCCCATCATGTTTTGCAGAAAGACACAATCTTTGAGAGACCAAGAGGAGGGAAAGCGAGAGAGGTCGAAATCATGGGTTGGTTTCTTGCATGTTTTGATTCTTCCAAAGACAAAAAAATGCAGGAGTAATCAGGGGAGCAGGATGGTGTGTGGAAGGGATTACCGGATTGGGTCGGAGGAGGAAGGAGATCGTTCGATCTCATCTGTTATTTTTTTTTTTTTGCTTTTTGTTTTTTCATTTTCAAATTTATTTAAAAGGTGGTGGTTGTTTGGATTTACAGGAATTTGGATGGTGGTGGTTTGGATTTGCAGGGATTTGATTTTTCAGGGAGGGAGGAAGGGTACATGAATTTGGATTTGCAGGGAGGAATGACGGGTGCATGGATTTGGATTTACAGGGAGAGAGGAAGGATGCAGTGGAGTAGGGTGCTGATTCAATCTCGGGCGACCCTAACGACACCACGACTAGGCTCGACGTCGTGGACACGGCAGCAGCTGCGCTGCAGACGGAGAGAGGAATCAGACCTCGCAATGGTGGACGTGGTTCGTCAATAACCAACTGGAGTAGCTGGGAATATTTAATTATACTGGGTCCCACGTGTGCCATGTCAGGCATTAACAGAAGTTTTGAGAGAAATTTAACAAAATGATCACATTGATTTTCAGTAGTCATATTTAGGGACATTGATCGATTTTTAATTTCAAGGATCACCTTGATTGATTGAGTCAATTTCAGGAACTATTTGTGATAAAAACCCTTTTTATAATCAACCTATATCACATGTTAATTGCATTTATCTTCCTATATGAAAGATTCATATTTATAACTATCATGTATCATTGCTTAATGTATCTTACTTGTAAGTATTATATTATTGCATCTGTAGTTAGGTTTCATATGTCGCTTGTAGGTCGAATATACGTTTAATTGTCTATCTACCTATGCCATAGGTTTTTTCATAGTCTACTTATGTTGATGCACAAAACCAGTCTATAACACAAATTAATTGTATCACATATTTTTTTCCTTGTATAATATGCCTTCATCACAA